AAATTATAATTTTTAGGACGAAATCCTGTCCCACTAAACTAAGTCAGTGGCAAAACTCCCATTGACTTCACTGGAACCAGGCTTTCTCCCCATTCTCTACAGATGGGATGAAGCGGGATTAAACTGCCCCTTGTTTTCGGCTGTGCACATTCCATGCTAACAATAGCCCTCTCTCTCTCTCTCTCTCTCTCTCTCTCCTGTATTCATATGTGAATCCTCAGGTCATTTCTCCTTTCAGAGCTTAAAAACTGAATGCCCTAAATGGAATAATAATTTACGTTGAATTAAATGACAGGTATGTATATATACAGGATGTACAGCTGGGACCAAAGACTTAAGGGCCTGATCCTTCTATTAAAAATCTGTGGGGAGCTTTGACTTCAAAGGATGGGTCCAAAATTAAAATGTTGTCATTGAAAAGCCACTGATCACATTTGGTTAGTCTCTATTAAATCAGGAATTAAAGAAACATTGAATACATCAGAATATTATTCTGAAACTGTGATAAATAATCAACTACTGTCTCACAAATGAAGCTGTGAATATACTAGAAAAGAGTTTTCACCCAGTTCTTTCATATATTCCATCAAAATTAGCATCAAAGATTGAGGGAACAATCTGTTTCAATAGTGTATTAAGTTTATAGGAGAAGAGTTTCATTATTTTTGAACAATTCAAGTTATTTCTAGCTTTCATGGCCAGTACAATCCATCCAAACAAAAATATTGTACTTTTGTCACTTTTAAATCAAATGAACTCACCCTTTCCAATGGGTCAAGCAAATCTGGATTCAATGTTTTCATTACTGTATTAAAAAAACACTATTGTACACACTCCTTCAGAAATATTAGCTGAACTGAAGAAGTGTTATTTCAACTGTATGCAGCTTGGCAGACAAGTTTCTTTCATTACCCACAGACCTAATGAATGTGTATTTGTAGCCAAGGGCTAAGACAGTATATTTAGGCTGATGTTTTTACTGATACAAAGATGAGGACCCCGGCGATGGTCACATACATTGTGGTGACAACTTCTCTATTTTGAAATGACAATGTTAGAAATGAAAGCTAGTGCCACCATTCTACCATTTTTGTAAACTCCTTTAAAAATGTTCCATTTAGAAAAAGCATAAGTGCAAAGAGTACAACTTTGCCTTCAAAACCAATTCATGATAGGAATGCACAGTTAAACAGCATTCTGGTGCTACATCTCTGCAAAGTGTCACTCTGAGTGGGAGACCCTATTCAACTGAACTTCATGGATTCTAAATAGCACACGCAATAAAGAAAAACAGTTTTAAAAGCTTTGTTGTTTGATTGTAAAACATGGATTCATCATTTAAAAGAAAATAAGGCATTACATTATGAAGTTTCACAATGATAATATTCTCTATACTCACACACCACTGAATTCCTAAATTCCAGTCAAAATTAATTTTTTAAATGTTACTGCACTTTGTTTCTAAACATGTACGTTTTAAATTCCTCATGAGATAAACCACATTTGATTCCACTTTAGAAATTATTTCTAAAAAACCACAACACAAATAAAGATGTAGCCACTGATATAAGAAAGTGAAGACACTTAACCACATAAATACACAAATAATATTTTTTACTTATTCACGCATATTTGTAAAACCATTAAAGCAAACCCCTATACCCCACTAATGGCAAACAGGTGTTTACAAAAGCCATCAAAACTAAAAGCTCCCATCTAAAAATATTGCCCTGCATTAATACAAGCTTCTTTATAGACTATATAAATTATTAGTACGATGTCATACACTACCATTTATAGCCACTTTATGCCGCCCTTCTGGTGAGAAGTTTAGTAATAAAAACACTTTCGCCCTTGTTTAAGATGAAAAAGTTATTTGTACAAAATCACTTCACTTTGGCAATTCTATGAAGTTTGAAGACAAATCAGCATTGTGGTACTAAAAGATTACAAACACACCAATTACTAAAAATAATGTTTACAACAATCCTTGCCTGCATAATCATAAATACTTCATAATATTCTGAACACACTCCTATAATGAGACCGTCTTCAGTTTTGCTTGTTGAAGCAACCTGTCTGAACACACACTCCTATAATGAGACCATCTTCAGTTTTGCTTGTTGAAGCAACCTTTAAAGAATGGTAAAGAGGACATGACCCTTATCCAGTGAAGAAAAGAATAACAAAAATATTCTATCACTAGACAACTTGACTGCCATTTATTATATTCACTAAGCTTGCACAGACTAAAAAATATACAGATATTTTTCTACAAATCTGCAGTAACCACACTTGTATGCTATTTGATACACTTGCTTGTGGAAATAACTGGTCACAAGTTAATCTGTTATTCTATTTGACCAATATTTCCAAACATATATAAAAATTCCTCAATGCATTACAGAACCATAAATGTTTATTTTGTTTGATTATGTTAGATTTGATTTCATGAGTGAACAATTAAAAGTAACCTAATTAGTATGTGTTGGTTGCATGCAACTTTATGAGCAACTCTAAATAAATACATTTCAAAGAAGTACTTGTCTTACTTTACTTTGAAATCTTCATCTCCTTGCAGTATTGGGCAAAGTGTAATATACTGAACCTCATCCAGGATTTACCTTAAGGATGCAATCTTGTTGAAAGACAAAAGACTATTCTTTATTTCAGTTCTATGTCTAGTTAGCTTTTGTTAAAAGAACAAGCTGGTTCAGGCTGAATTATACAGAGTAACTATCTTTACTCCGCACACATTTACACACTGCTGCTCTGTAAATGCTTTGAGATGCAATTTTGTTTTAAAGCGGTGATATTTTTAAAATGTTAAAGCTCCCCATATATACACGGGAACCCTGAGCAACAGAAAAAATACTAAAGTGATATTTTATTGTCCAAAGTTTATGGAAACTACATGGGAAAAAAAGATTGATTGTCTCCTAGGACTATAAACAGTTGTACTGATTACACACAAGAAAAACAAAATGCAAGTAGATCTTGTATGGAACATAGTTCAAATAAGGTATGAACCTTAGTGGGCAGTGGAACAGAAAGCATCTTCTATTGTGCAAAGCAGTGCAAAAGAAACACAAAGTTTGCTGTTGTGATACAAACAAGGTAAATTAAGCAAATGCAATCATTTTGCTTCCTTCTGAAAGGTCTATGTTATATATAAACAGAAACTATTAATATCTTCAGAGGAATTGCTACAGTGACTGATGTGCATTTTAATTCTACAAGTGCATTATAAAAAGAGTGAAAACCTTTTTCCAGCGCATTCAGGCATCTCAATCTGAAAAACTGGGCTTAATTTTCATTTGAAGAGCACCAAAAGGTGGTTACTGAGACTGCTGGGGATAGCCACGGCTATTCCATGCCTAACAATTATGATCGCTTCAATAATAATACAGAGCAGAGCAGACGTGAGGCACAATACAGACACACGCAGCCACTCGGAAATGTTGAACGTGAAGTACTGCTAACTACGTGCCAGTTATTTATAAGACATCTTATAACAACCCCATTCTAGAGTTAGTCGGTTTGGGACGGCTCTGCCCTGGACTGGAGGCTACCAGCTTCCCAATCGCTTTAGGGTTGCAGGAGGGGCAAGAATTGTTGCATTACGTTGCCAGGAAATTCAATAAGCAGCTTCCTTGAAAGAGAGTTTTCAATCCACCCTCCAGTAGGATGCTGAGTGAATGCGTCTCTATCGGATTTACAAGCCACAGACCCTCCAAACTCGATTGAATCCAAAGTGCCTGCGCCAAAGAACCGGATTTCCCTCCAGGTGCAGCCCCACCCCTCAACTCTGGCCGTATTTGTTTTATAAATTCCGCCAAAGGCGTTCAGTTTGCAAAGCCCCCCAATCCCTACAGGACTCGCCTGGCAAATTATGCATAAAGGGGCCGCGACGCGCCACGCCCACCGCGACCCAACTCTGCCATTGTTAACATCCTGACTGTTTCCACCAGGCAAACTTTCCGATTGCGGCTGTAAGCGCAACGAAAAGTGCACGAGAAAAGGAGACTTGAAGTGTAGGCTCCAGCCCAGCGTGTGGGCAGGAGGAAGAAGTCCCAGGCTGCATTAAAGGCTGAGTGAGAAATGTCTCTCCTCCTCCCCCCGCCATATACACACTCCCCCCTCCCTTGTCTTGGCCGAGACTTTGGCAGCCCTGCAAACCGTGGGTAACTCTGCTAATCTGCTGGCAGATGTTGTCCATCATACTCAGTACTAAGTAAACAATGCGGAGCCCTGCAAAACAAAAGATTTCCACTTCACCTCATTTAACGTCTTTCACTTACTCTCCGGCTGCACCGGGAGGTCGAGGAAGGGGAGGGGGGCTTCTTGGAAGGGGGAGATTTGAAGAGGAACGAGAGCACCCATTTAACGATTTGCCGTTCTCCCTCCCTCGCCGCCCCCGAACAAAAAACATGCACTACGTCTGAGGGCTTGAACTCGCTCCCCGACTTGATCCACTGGCCCTTATTTGTCCCTGCGTGCTCCGAAGTCTGCATCACATACATGCACACGATCAATCGCAGGGCATTACGTACACACAGCAATGTTTCCAGCCAAGACAATACTCGGCACAGTAACACACCGAACGCGCGCACACCCCTGGCACGGCAACATATTTTTCTCTCTCACACACACACACACACACACACACACGGGTTCTAATTGGACCCGGTAGTTTTGCATCCTCCGAGCAACTAGCACCGCAAACATCGCCGCCCCCGTAATTTTGTAAACAGATACGTGTATCAGCGGCTCTCTCCTAGCGGCTTAAAGCCGGGATGGGGAGGGGGGTGGGATATATGACCAAAGATGTCCTCAGATTTCAGGCTTCCCTTGTCCTTTTTTCCCCCCGCTCTGTGTGGCGCAGTGAAGCGAAAACACATGGACATCACCACGGGTACAAACATTAAGAATGCAGGTACGGAAAGAGCGCGCCCACAACCCAGCCTTCATTGCAAATACCCTGCCTCCCCCCCCCTTACCTCTGCCTTGGCTCCAAATATCCACAGGGAGCAAAGCCCTCCTCCTCTCAGCGCTGCATCGCTCCCTTTATCGATCGCCGCCTCTCTCTCTCCAGGGCTCTGGCTGCCTGAGATCCACCTTAAAATGACACACACACACACACATACACACACAAACTTAATCCCCTCCTCCTCCCGCCAGCTGCTGCTCCAGGTGGGGATGGG